ATGACCTGGATGACTAGAAGAATAGGGTCCCATTAAGCAACATGAAAAGCAGATTGAATGGGGAGCAAAGAACAACTGGGTCATATTGAGTATAAGGAGCCTGTTGGTAATCGAAGTAAAATACTATTAGAGATAGATCGACACACACATACATAAACACACACACACACACACACACACACACACACACACACACCCCGACCATTCTACAGGTCAGGACTGGAGGGAGATTTAGAAGTTATCTGCATATAGGAGGTCATGCACAGTGAGAGTAAGTACAGTAGAAAGAAAAGAGGTCCTAGGACAGAGTCCCCCCCCCCACACACACACAAAACAAAAAACAAACAAACAAAAAAACCACTTACATGGCAGATGAAGGAAATGGAGCCTACCAAAGAGACTGAGAAACAACAAGTCGAGATACTGGAGGGAAACCAGAACATAGTACAGCCCTGGGACTCAAGGAGGAGGTGAACTTCAAGAAGGCTGGAGGGATTACTTTGGTCAAAGGCAGCCGGGAGGTCAAGTATAATATGGAATGACCCTTTCCATTGTGTAGAGCAATTTGGAGGTTGTTAATGAATTTGGCAGGAGTGGATTCTATGGGACAATGAGTAGTAGCTGAATAGCAGTGGTCAATAAATGAATGTCAGGCGACACACAGAAGCCACAACGCACACACACAGGTCTCTTAAGAAGCAAGTCTGGGAAGGAGAGGGAGGCAGGTTTGTAGCTGGAGAAAAACTCTGAGTCAAGGGATATTTGGGGGGAGGGATGTTGGGAGGACTGAAAGAGAAAATGGACTGACCTCAGCTGCACATTGTCAAACGGCCCACAAACCTCGGTTACTTATTAACGCGGTCTCCCAGACACCCAGTAGCAGCCTGGTTTGAATGTCACAATGAGACACTGGCAACGGGGCAACTGTGTTGAAGAGAGAAGAATCTAGTGGCCTGAAAAGAAAAAGAAGAGACTAAAGACATTTGTTCTTTGTGACCTGCCTTTCTCCCGTCTCTGGTTTTCGGCTCATCTCTTTCCTGTAGGACCTTGAGGTTTTTCTCTCTCTCTCCACCTACTTGGACGGTCTTCAACACCTGACAGGCTTCACACTCCTTTCTTTTGTTATGACTAGACCGAAAAAGTGGTCTCTTCAAGGAGGCGATGAAAGGCCCCAGCATTCACAGAAGTCACCAGAAACTGAAGACAATCCCATGTCAGAGTCTGAGAGTGAGAGAGAAAATCGAAGGGTGAGGGAAGGCGGAGTGGAAAGGAGGGGAGAGAGAGAGGAGGAGGGTGAGGAGAGAGGACGGGAACAGAAAATGAGAGGTAATTTTAAACTCGAGGCAGGAAGCATAGGTGGGGATGGAATAAAGGGTAGGAAGGAAGGCAGAGGGGTAAGGAGAGGGACTAGGTCAGGTTAAACTAAGGAAGCAGGTGGATTAAAAAGTGTATAAGAAATACAGTTTTAGGGGCACCTGGGTAGCTCAGTCAGTTAAGCATCCTGCTCTTGGTTCAGCTCATGTTGTGATCTCAGGATCATGAGATTGAGTCCCGGGTCGGGCTCTGCACTCAGTGGGGAGTCTATGCTGGAGATTCTCTCCCTCAGCTCCCCCGCCATGTGCTTGTGGGCACGGATGGGCGGGTATGTGGGTGTGAGTGTGTGCATGCTCAATCTCTCTCAAATAAATATTAGAGAAAAAAAGAAAAAAGAGAAACTCAGTTGTATTCTACTCGGGTATTTTCTGCTTGATTACTCAACAAATGTGTATTGACTAGCCATTCTGGGTCAGGCACTGTGTTTGGTGCCTGGCCAGAGCTGCAAGCAGGCATTCACAATGACGGGCGGTAAAATCCACAACAGGGGCCGGCATGAGAGAACAGCTCACCAGTCCTGGTGGGGGCCACACACATCCCCTGAGAAGCCATCCAAACTCAGAGCTGAGGGATCCGTAGGAGGTAGCAGCCACGGAGTGTGAGCTTGGAGAGAAGGGCCCGGCAGAGCGACGGCACAGGGTGGTCTTGATGTCAGTGTGAGGAGCGCCTGTCGAAAGCTGTAAAGCACAAGAGATTAGCACAGGAAGTAAACAGGGACCTGATGAAACAGGGCCCTTGGGACAGGTTGAGAATTTGGGACTTATGTTAAATCTGGAAGGCTTTTAAACATGAGAGTATCTTAACCACCTTTAACCTTTTAAAAAGATCCATTTGAAGGGGGTAATTAAAAAACACCTGGAGGCAAATATTGAACTTGGTTAATGATAAGGATACACAAATTACTTAAGAGGAAGCATACTGAGATCTGCGATTTACTTGGAAGTGCATGATGGAAAAGCAGCCAGGTGGGTAACCAGAAGGCTGGAAGGCTCGCTGGATGTGGGACAATGAAAATACAATACAATGGTAATGGTAAAATCAAAGTGGTGGGGATACAGGTGTTCGTTGTAAAATTCTCTCAACTTTCCTTATGTTTGAAAATGTTGATAATAAAATACGGGGAAATTTAGATCATTCTGGCTGATTGTAGAACATTCTAGAAAGGGGAATAGGAGCCAGTGAGGAGGTGGTTGCAGTAACTGAAGCAAGAAGTAGTCATGGCCCCGGAAACTGGGGAGAGACAGGGAGAGAAGAATTCTAATTCAAGAGCTGTTTCAGAAGTTACGTCAACGACTTGGTGATGGACTGACTGTGGCAGGAAGGCAGGTTAGGGATAAACAACAAACCAGGCCACAAACCAGTTAAGAGTTGAGCAAGGATGGCCAATAGATTTTGGGGTGAAAAGGAGGACTCCTGATACCCATGAAGAACTGAGTCACCAGTGTCCCCTTCAACTGGCCTCTGACCTCGGGTCCTTTGCCTTCTTAGTCTGCTCTGGAACTCGTGGGGGAACTCAGTGGGCCACAGCACCTCATGAGCAAGGGGGAGAGTCAGGGGGGAGAGTCCGAGAGTGGCTACTTCCCTGCTGGGGCTGGGTTGCTCCTACCCACCTTCCCCTCCCCTCAGCCCTCTCCCAGCACGGCTGTAGCTCTGCTCGCTGTAGTTCAAGTGGTCTGTTTTCTCAGAAGGAAAGCGTCTGGGGTCAGCAGCTTCAAATGGCTTCTTCAACCACAGCCAGCTTTAATTTATCAGCTTTCAGTTACAAAACCGATTTCTGGAGAAGACTCAATCACAATAAAGCAAAATTGGGTTTTCCTCCAGGCCTGCAAACTGCCTCTTTGCTAGAGCAGCTGTTGGCCTGATGGTTCTGGGAGAGGAAATCTCTCCCACCTCCCCCCAACCCTCCCACTCCCCGTACCGCCCCAAGCCCAGCAGCTGTGAGGAATGTAATTTCAGCTCATTTCCTACCAGCCTTGTCCTAGAGACAAGCAAGCCCCTCCCTCTCCTTCCCTCCATGTGAGGGACAGTTATCAGAGGACCTGTTTTCCATTCCCATAATTACTTCTGGGCTTCATTGCTGGATTCTTGTTGCTGTTGCGCCCACAGCCTTGGGAGGTTTAGGAGCTTTGTGTTTGTGAGGACTTGAACAGGGCAGGCCTGCCTGCTCTTCCTGCCCCTGGGGATGCCCTTGGAGAAAGACCCATGCCACAGAAATGCAGTGACTGTTTGGTATCAGACCCTAAAAGGGGGGACTCCTAACTCTGACTTAAGGACATGGGAGGCTGGGGGCACCTGGGTAGCTCAGTCAGTGAAGCGTCTGCCTTGGGCCAGGTCAGGATCTTAGGGTCCTGGGATCGAGTTCTGCGTGGGGCTCCTAACTCAGAGGGGAGCCTACTTCTCTCTCTGCCCCTCCTCCCACTCATTCTCTCAATCTCTCTCTCAAATAAATCTTTAAAAAAAAAAAAAAAGGACATGGGAGGCTGGGCCAGTGATCATCACTACTCCCAAATAAAGCTAGACACATGCCTCCCAAAACACCACCTGATTCTGGCATTTGACCTTCCGAACAACAGACCTCCCTGGAGAGCCGGACAAGCATCTACCCCTCAGTCTTGAAGGGAACCCACTCAGCTGGTCCTTGTGCATCAGATATGAAGCTCTGCCCCTGCCCCCACCTGAGCCTTGGGCTCCCCCCAGTTAAATCGGGGAGGGCGTTCAGGCTCGGGTCGTTTCTAGGGGTGAGTCAGACCACGGGGCGAGGGCGCCAGCCCAGTGTCTGAGTCATTCGTGGCACTCAGCACATGGCACTGCGGAGAACTCCAATTTCCGCAGTGATGACCGACTCACGTCTCCACATCAGCCTCGTAGCTGAGCAAGCCAGGGTGGTCTCTGTGCGCTTCAAGTATAAAAGTGCTCTTATTGTTTTAGTTTCCTGGCTATCGGTACCACTTCAGTCACTTGGGCTGCTTATCCCTTGGAGAGGGGACTTGTTTTAGGAAACGGGCAAGGAGAGGGGCTCCTTTTCCAGCCTTCCTATCACCTCTGGGCCTCTCCTAAGAGTCCTGTTCGAGCCTGCCAGCCGCTCTTGGTTGAGGACTTTCTTGTGAACACGTCCACTGCCGAGGGCGCTGCAGAATACTTTACGGGTCAGGGGTCTCCGCATGCTCATGTTCAGTGGGCTTGCAGGGGGGAGGGGACTTTCTTGGTTTTGTTGGATTGGGCTTTGGTCACACATTGAAAATCTTGGGTCTCCAAGGCCCTGTTTTATTTCTGGGTCACAGCGTCTGTTCCCCAGCAGGAACCCTGGCGCCTGCGAGCTGGCTGACGTCGCTCACTCTCACTCAAGCCACCGGGTGCTGCATCCCAGGTGCCTGAGCCCACAAAGGGCCAGGTGGAGCTGCAGGAAGATGGCGGGCGGGGGGGGGGGGTAGAAGGCAGGGACCCAGAGACAAAGGCTTCCCAGGATAAAGGAAAAGAAAGCCAAAAGACTTACTCTGTGCCAGGCACAACGCCAAGTCCTTTCTGTGAATTTTCTCCTTCATTTCTTTCCCCCAGCCACCCCTGTTACGAAACAGCCCTTTATACAGACAGGCAAACTTAGAGAGAGTTGGCCACGTTCTCCAGGTCGTCCGGCTGGCCAGGAGCAGAGCTAAGAGCAAAAGTCAGTAGCTGACCAGAGCCCAGGAGCCTTCCTACTACCGGGTCTCCGCTTTTCTGAGAAAGTGAAAGCCTCGACCTCCAAGCCCCGTGAGATGGATGCCATTTAAGGGACGCCACCTGGAGCTCTGCGTCTGCACCTGGGCTGTGTGGAGGGGGCCATAAATGGGCAAGATGGCAGCCTCCAATCTCTGGAAGCAGGAGGAAGCGGCTCCCACTTTGAAAGTAAGTATGCAGAAAGCACTAGAAGGGGCAGCATCTTTCCTCTGTTCCCCTGTTAAACCAGCTTCTTTAAAGATCCTGGATGGTCACAGCTGTGCCTGACACTGGAGTGGGGGCAGTGGCAGATTCGGGTGTGGAGGGGGGCCTGGGGTCTCCATCCCCATCCTCCAGGCCACTAGAAACTCAGCTGAGGCCAGGGGTTTTCAATTTCACTGTGATGGGCCACAGGGGCCTTCCTGCAAGCGCCGGGGGAACTGTGGGAGCCAAGGGATCCCTGGATGGGTGAAGGCACTGGGCGCTTGACACAGGGTGCTCTTCTGCCTTTCTTCTTTCAGTCTCCTGTTCCCCTCCCTTGCCTTACTACCCAGATCAGAGCTGGAAACACAGTGCTCAGCAAACCCCAAGGGGAAAGCCAGCCTCCTCGCTCCTGTGCTGAGGAGCAGGCTTTGGATGTACAAAACAGGCACAGCGGAGTGGGCATGCTCCTGCTGGGCTTTTCTCCCCACCCCACCCCCCTCCCACCTCCAAAGTTCCTGCTCAGGAGGGTGGGAGTTGGGTTGGGGCCAGTGGAAGCAGAACCACCACTCCCAGGGGAGAGGGGTGGGTGGGGTAGCGGGGTGAAGGGGAGGACTTCATTGGAGGGAATGGGTGGGGACCAGCTGCTTGGGGAGGGGGGCCCTCAGGGAGGCTGCAGGCAGGGCTGGCCATCAATGGCATAAGCACTGCACCTGGCCCACCACCTGGCCCACCACCTGGTCCCACTACGCCCTCTGCGCCCTGTAGAATCTGGTTACTGAGCATTTGTTCATCCGGGATCAAAGCTCTGAATTCCCAGCCCCTGTGTCTCGGCAGGGGGCTGGGGAGTGGTGGGGAGAGGTCTGCCTCCAATGGGGAGGGGCCAGGAAAACTTCCCAGGCTGGAAACATGCCACACTGACCCTCCCTCACCTTAGGGCTGGGCTCTTCCTGGGAGTCCCTTTAGGTGTCGGTACATCGCTGGGAGTGGGTGTCGGAACGCCAAAGCATGTCCTACCCGCCCTGACGTTTTGTTTTGTTTTGTTTTGTTTTTAAACTTAAATTTTTTTTTTTTTAAGACTCTTCTCCATTTACTTGACAGAGATCACAAGCCGGCAGAGAGGCAGGCAGAGAGAGAGAGGAAGGGAAGCAGGCTCCCCGCCGAGCAGAGAGCCCAATGCAGGGCTCCATCCCAGGACCCTGGAATCATGACCTGGGCCGAAGGCGGAGGCCTTAACCCACTGAGCCACTCAGGCACCCCCACCCTGACATTTTTTGATGCCACTTCTGATAGAGGTCCTCAGAGCAGCCAGAGGGTCATGGTCACTTGAGAGAGCCCTGACACCCAACCTCACTCCCTGGGATAGTGGAGGGCATGGAGTGTCTGTCTGGTCTCTCACCCAAGCAGGTGTGGCTCCTGTCTGCCGTCGGCCATGGATCGGTGGTGGCTGCTCTTATTAGGACTGTGGACAACCGCACCACTCACCTGGGCTGGGGACGAGCTGCTCAATGTCTGCATGAACACCAAACACCACAAGCGAGAGCCTGGCCCAGAAGACCGGCTCTACGAAGAGGTACAGAGGCCAGATGTTGCCTGGGGGTGGGAGGAGGGTTGCTTTGGCAGCTCAGGGAAGGGACATAAATGCCACGATGGTTTCTGAACCACCACCAACCCTAACTCATGTGGTTCCTTATGCTGGTATTGGGGCCCGAGCCACTGGAGGGACACTATGGCCTTTTGAGATCGTAACTGTTGAGTGCTTCAAAGTTCCCGTCTCTGAGCTTCTGGGCCACTTGGGGAACAGGGGCAGGTGGTGATCCAGGAGGCTCAGCACTGGTTCGGCATAAATGCAAACCAGGTCCTCCTCTTCTAGCCTTCCTACCAATAGGACTCTGGCGACCCCTCCCCAAGCCCTAAAGGCAATTGATGGGGGCAGGGCGGAGTTGTGCAACTGGCCTTTCCCTGGGAGCCCTTCTCAGGGCTCCACATCCCCCTGGGGTTCGTGGGGCTCCTCAGCGACCCCTCAGGAGGTGACACCCTGCAAGTCCAGTCTCTAGAGGACTGCAGCAGCCTGCAGCACGGAGATCAGCATGCAAGGGCCCCCTTTGGCTGGGGATTTCCGCTTTTCTTCTGTATGGGTGCTGACGACTTGAAGCCATCCCCTTTGCCCAGGTCCTCCTCCTTCTCCCATGTCTTACCAACCCCCATGCCTTTTCCTTCTTCCTCGGCCTTCAGTGCAACCCCTGGCGAGGCAATGCGTGCTGCAGGGCAGGCACCAGCCTGGACACCCACCTGGACCTGCCCTTGCTCTACAACTTCAGCTTGCACCACTGTGGGGTGATGCTGCCAGGCTGCGAGAAGCACTTCCTCCAGGCCATCTGCTTCTACCAGTGCTCCCCAAACCTGGGGCCTTGGATCCAGAAGGTCAGGAGGCTGGGTGGGGGGCAGGCAGGAGGCAGGTGCAAGCAGTGTGCTGTTACTGAGGACCTGAGCCCCGCACCACTAGCGGAGCGGGCTGTGCTGTCCCCCTACAGACAGCTCAGTCAGGGGCCAGGTTGGGACAAAAGCTGGAGAGGCAGCTTCCTCAGGCCCTGGAGAGCAGCGTAGTGGGGAAGAGATGAGAGCTGTAGGAGGAGGGCCCCTCTGAGTCCCATTCTGCCAGATGGACGAAACTGTGTAGCCAGGGCAGAACAATGGAGCCTCCAAGACTCCTTGTTCTGGGTAAAGCCCTGCTTATAGACTCCGTAGGAAAATCTGTTCCGAGGGTACCCGGCACAAGTACCCTCGCGGCTACCGATCATCTCCAAGCGATTGCTACTAGCATTCTTGTCATCTGCCATGCCTGTATCCAGCTGGACTCGGGCGGGACAGGCGAGCGAATTCTGGAGGTGCCCCTGTGCTGGGAGGACTGTGAGCAGTGGTGGGAAGACTGCCGCACATCTTACACTTGCAAAGCTGACTGGCACGGCTGGGACTGGAGTGGGGGTAAGTGTCGCTCGCTCAGCAGGACCCCTGCCTGGGGGCAAGCACAAGCCCTCTCTGCTCCCTGAGGGTGAAGGATGGTGAGGGATGGGTAGGGGAGGGGGAGCTAAGGATGTGCCTCCATCCCTCCACAGGTAAGAACCTCTGCCCTGCACAAGCCTTCTGCCACCCTTTCCCCCATTACTTCCCCACCCCGGTTGACCTATGTGAGAAGATTTGGAGTCACTCCTTCAAGGCGAGCCCTGAGCACCGGAACAGTGGGCTGTGCCTACAGAAGTGGTTTGAGCCTGCTCAGGGCAACCCCAATGTGGCCGTGGCCCGCCTCTTCGCCAGCACGGCCCTGTCCAGGGACCGCCCCTGCATGCTCCTGGCCTTCTCTCTGTTCCTGGCGTTCCTATCCCCAGAGCCCCTTCTTCTCCCACCCACATTCCTCCTTTCTTGGGTCCTTCCCTTAAATAGAGCAGCACAGGCTGGGGGCCGGAGACACTGAGGCTTCAGAAGCGGGTGCCCGAGCACTGAACATTCAGTTCTAGCCGCCCCCGCCCCACACCATCCCACTCTGTCTTCCTCTGCCTGGAAAGCAGCAGAGGCCGGGAGCGCCCATGTGACCTTCTCCCTTCACCTTTATGGGGCCTCTGCGACTCTGATGTGGGGCTCCAGGCCCTTCTCATCCAGGGTGTGCCCACCTCCTTCCAGGGCAGAGCTGCTCGTCACCACCCTGGCCTCCTGTCCCACAATGGGGCCTCCAATAAAACTGCACTTGACCTTCCCCCTCCGTGTGACCCACTCTGTCCTAGCCCTACGGTCAGGGAGCCAGTCCGCGTGCTGCACTGACATCTCAGAATTGGCTGCGACCTAACTCCTAACAATTAGCTTCTTCACGTGTGCCAGGTCCTCTCCTTCCCTCCTCAGAGCACCTCCTGGTGGGAAGACTTTCCACACCCGCTCCCCCCAGCCCCCATAAGCCCTGTGACATACAGAAGACCCAAAGCCAGGGTAAGGACCACCCAGGCCACTGGTTTTATCTTGGATACAGGATTAAAGCCCCTCCAATGCTTGAGGCATTTCCTCTTCTTCTTTTTTTTTTTTTTTTTTTTTTTTTTAAGATTTTATTTATTTGAGAGGTCAAGTGGTGAGAGAGCACTTGAGAGGAGGGGATTGTGGGGAGGAGAAGCAAACTTCTGGCGGCTGAGCAGGGAGCCTGACACGAGGCTGGATCCCAGGACTCTGGAATCCTGACCAAAGCCGAAGGTGGATGCTTAACTGAGGGAGCCTCCCAGCTGCCCATTTCCTACTCTTTTAACCCCAGATTCACAACACACAGCTCAGGAATTCTGGAAGCCAGGGCTCTATTCCAGTTTTACGCTTTCTATAGGACTTTTGGCAAATCCACTGGCCTTCAGTTAAGACTGTGCCTCCCCCTCCCCTGAGAGGCATGATGGAGTTGGACTCCATGATTTCTTAACTTACAAAAAGAAAAAGGGAAAAGCCAATGCCACAGTTTGTTGGGCTACAGTCTGTGCTTCTCAGGCAGTGCCAAACCATAAAGAACAAGACAGAAGTCAGAACTGAACCAGAGAAGGGGCGCTGGGGCGGCCTTCACATCCCTTCTGTAAGTGGTGTGGGAGCCAATCCACCCTCCCAGAACGTTCCAGAACCAGAAGCCCAGCAGCTTCTCAGCATAGATGGCACCTTCCCTACAACCTTTCCATTGACAAAGAGGGTTATGTCAGCCCCTGAGGTAGTTGGCTTTTCTGACACTCATTCTCACCAGACACCAGTAAGACTTGCTCCTAGTTAAAGTCTATCTCCATCCCTCCACACTTACCCTGAATGTGCTCCTTCACTGAACAGACCCGGTCACAGCTGGGGCACTCGGGTTCTCAAACCAGTGAGGACGGTCCTCCTGAGTGAGGTGCTCAGAGTCTGGAGTAGGAGACCGACCCTAGCAGTGGACACAAAGCACTTGGCTGGAAGCCTGAGAGAACAGGGACTGGGCTGGGGATCCTCACAAAGGGGGTGATGCCTGAGCCCACTGAAGAGAGATCTTTTCATTAAGCACAGGAACAACAACAAAAAAAAGGCAAAACAAAAACCAGCCAGTCCCTAATGCCCCAGTGGTCTATCTGAAACAGGAACTTTACCTACTCTTAAGTGAATCAAGAAATTGTGGCTTTAAAAATACATATAGGTAAAATTTCTTAAGAATTAAGGACTTGATTTTTCTCTATCTTCACTTAATAAACTATCACTTTACTAAAAAAAAAAAAAGAATTAAGGACTTGAGTGAAGTGTCTGAGAATATGTGTGTGGTTCTAAAGCTGAGAGCTAAATGACTTTTTTAAAAGTATTTTTAGGTAAAAATATAAAATTAATCAAAGTAAGCTTAACATTGAGATAGCCCAAACAAGACCAGTTCTGCGAGCCCTAATGACTGCTACTGTTTATTGATCATTTACTCTGTGCCTGCGGCTCTGCTAAGCTCCTAACATACATTAGGTTATCTGATCCTTCCAAAAGCTTTGAGAGTCACCCTCACACCCACCTTTCAAGTTAAGTCATATATGTGGGTTTGGAACCAGGTAGGTCTGACCCCACAATCCCAGCTCATGAGGCTTATACAGAACACCCTGGCAAGTGGGACTGGGGCAAATGTAGGGAGAGGGGGCAGGCTTATGGCAGGTCATGGTCAGGAAAGAGAGACTAAGCTTTCTCCCTGTCTGTGTTTAGAGGAGTGACAGTTTTCAGTAGTGGAATAGAATTGTTAGATTTGCAGCTGAGTGATTTGTTTCGAGCAAAGAGATCCATACATGTGGCTATAACATGTAGGTCAAAAGCCCCCTAACACGGAACAACAGAGCCCCAGCCAGTCAGCCCCTTAGCTCCAGGGATACTTCGAACCACTTCTGGATTTAGCTATGAAAAAGTTACAGAAGGTGGCTTATCTTTTCTGCCACACAGATTACCTTTTTGCTTTCTATTCTGTTACTTTCTTAATCTTCCGATCTTTTTAATTTTGGCAATCCATTTTTAATTTCTAGGAGATTTTTTTTTAATTCCCTTGGTCTTCACAACCTGCTGTTTTGGTTTTATGCCTGTTATTTCTTCTCAAATCTCACTGAGGATCTAATTAGAATTTTTTAAAGTCTTTTATTCTAGTGTCTGAATGACCTATTTCCTCCAAGGGCAATCTGTTCTCTTTATCTTCATCTTCCCCCATGTGCCGCTAGTTTTCTCTGCATCTGGTGACCTTGGTTGCGTATCCACATCCAAGAGTGATGAGCTGGTTTGATTTTTTTCTAGCTGGTATAGGCTTCCTGGGGTAGTGTCTGAGGCTCTTTCTCCTACTAGCAAAGCTGATGGGGAGTTCTGGGTATAGGGGGGAAGGCTTGTTGGCTAGAGGACAGCTCCTGAGTGTGGAAGTAAATGAGAACAAGCAAAGGCTATTCGGTCAGCGCTTACTGTAACATGGAAGTCAGCCACCATCACTTGGGTTTTGACAAAGACTCAAAAGCAGAGAAGGTTTTAAAGCTTCAGATATGCCCTATCTGAGACTGTCGGCATGGGGAAGCCATAGGCAGACTTCCTAGAAGAGGGGCATCCTATGTGATTGGTTAGAAATGTGTATTTGGCTTTCTCTGATTGATCCTCAGTTGGAAGCAAGGATAAAAGTTAGGGAAGCTGTCACTCAATCAAGCCCTGGCTGTTTGGGACCAATTGCTAAAGGGGTGATTGTTTGGCTTCCTGGACTCGTGGTTAAAATAGTGCTTCAGCCTCCTGTAAATCTGATTTCGATAGCAGCTGGCTTTCTGGGCTGATTACTGCAGAAAATGGATTAAAACTACTTTTCTATCCACCCAGCCATCTTCCACCTGTATGTGCAGTCTTGCGAGACAGAGTTGGCGGGAGCTATATGGACAGCGGACCCCTCAAATACTGGAATAAAGATGGCTCTCTTTGGGATGCCACATCATAAATTTCACCATGCATGAAGCTTCAGCACTATCTAGGATTTGACTTTTTGGAGAATACCCCATCTGGGGGTTAAAGTTGGGTTACCTGAGCTCCAGATTTGGGTAGAAGACATGGGGGTGATCATGTTTAGACTTCCTCTCTCTGACCCTCATGCCTGCCAACGCTGAACCCAGAGCCTCTCAGAGGTTCTGCCTGAAGATGAGCTCCTCCTTCACTGAAGCTGCCTCTTCCACTTCTTGTGAACACCCTGTTCCCTTTGGTGGGCTTCCATATACCATCTTCTAAATATTTATTGAAATTTCTTATTCACTGGTGATTTCCTTCATACTCTTTCATAAAGGAACATTGAGAAATAAATATTTTGATGAGATCCCAGTAATTCACTCTACCTTCTGTAACCAGAAACTGCAGGTTTAAAAAAAGTCTCATTGTATAAAGAAAAGATTACAAGGGTGCCAAACGGGAGACAAAGAGGCTGAGGTCAATGTATAGGATGAAATATGCAGGAGGGGAATGACATAAGAAATGCAGGTGGTAGGAACTTCATTGTGAGTAAAGCTCTAGGAGGCATTAAGTTAAACTACAGTGAGCCAGAATGCAGCAGACTCGGAAACTATTAGGAAGATTTTAGGAAATTTGGACATCTTCTGTACACAGTACCATTAAATACATAGAAGATGAAATGTGGGGGAGAGAGAATGATCACAAAGGAAGCAACAGCTTGGATAACTCAATTCTGATGCTCCCATTAGTATGAGATGTTTTCCCTAGCCTAGATTGTACCAGGCATTCCTTCCACTGGATGCAACCCATTGAATTTTCCACTATGGGACCATCAAACCCTGTTCAAGTCCTTTCTCAGAGAATGCTGGGAAGTTCTGGGTAGCAGGTGAAAAATGAAAACATGTATGCTTCCCTTGTTTTAAGATTCATTTTTGACTAAGTTTCCTCAGTAAGTCTTCATATCAAAGTGGGAAAGTCATGGTGGCCTGACATGCATGCAGTGGGATCTTGTTCCCAGACCAACGTCTGCTACCAGAAAAAGGAATGCTGGGAGGCCACCCCTTCCATTCCTCCTCCACCATGTCCCTGCCCACTCATTTTCCCACCCCATCCCCACTGACCCCCTCCAAAATAATGACTACTTCCTTAGCTATTTCCTGTTGTCCCATTGGTTTTGTATGGGGAGGGGGATGGAACACACACATTTGGAGATTATTCTGGTGTCCAAGGCAGATGTCTTTCACACCAGATCACACTCCCCAGCTCTAAGCCTCGAGACAGTTGAGTGTCCAGTGTCTTCTTATATCCCAAAGGGGCAGTATTCCTGCCAACAAAACCAATCACTTGATTTCATTGTCCATCTTTCCTTCTGTTCTGCTTATCTCTATCCTCAGATTTACCCTCCCACAGAACCAGAAACCACTTTTAGTATGAACCAAATGAACCAAAAAGAAAAACCTGAAGGTGGGGCGCCTGGGTGGCTCAGTGGTTTAAAGCCTCTGCCTTCGGTTC